CTCCATTGTTTTCTGATGTGGCAATATTCTTCCAGACTCCTGTAAAAATTTCCTGCCCAAAATTAGAAATTAGTCATTTCTCTAAGGAAACTTTAGTGGGAAAACACTATTTGGAAACCATAATTTGAGTCCGTCTTGGTTTCTGGGCCATACATGTGCAGAGCTGTGTGCATATTCAGAAGAGATCATACAGGGCCTCCCTAACCATCCCTGGTTAAACATGGGGCCTTGCACAAAGACAAAGTAGAAGCTGGCCAGATTTGTAAACTGCTTGAACATTGAGTGCACGCACTGACCCAAATACAGATCCCCTAACCAAAATGTGGAAGTCTTACCAGCATGACCTCTGGCAAATCATTGACTCACCACTAAGCTATTCTGACCCAGGATTGACCCACAGAAAGCCAGGCTTAAAAATTTAAAAATATATATATATAACTGAGAAGAGACGTAGTGGCTACAACTGAAGAGGAGACAGGCTACAAATTAGTCCTGGAAGTTAACTAAACAAACAAGCACACAGAACCCACAAAAATCACAATTACTTTATTCAGAGAAAACCTCAAATTAGAACAAACCAAATGTCCACCAAAGAGGGGTTGTATAAAGATAGATAGATAGACAGATAGATAGATAGACAGATAGATAGACTATTCATACATGGAATATTCACTACCTGTCACACTACTTGTCTCTTTGTGTTTGGAATATGTTAAAAAGAGTTGGGGTTTTGTATTAAAAAAAAAGTGTGACAAGGGACAAAGCTCTAAATTTTCCTTAGATATCATGGAGAAAATCAGGGAGCTAAAAAACAAAAAACAAACCCATGGCTGTTGAGTGGAGCCCAACTCAAAGTGTCCCTACAGGACAGAGTAAAACTAACCCATAGAGTTTCCAAGGAGCAGCTGGTGGATTCGAACCACTGATCTTTTGGTTAACAGCCAAACTCTTAACCACTACCCCACCAGGGCTCTAAGGGAGCTAAGGGAGTGTGGAATTTACTGGCCAAATAAGAATTGTTTAAATATAAAGGGAAGCATCATTGTGTCAGATGGTCCAACTATGTAAGAAAGGAATATAGTGAGAAAAGACAATCACTTTGATATTTAATCGAATTCAGATGGTTTTTTGGCACATATTACATGACGATAACGCATTTTTTCATGATCTTTAAATTCAAGGACCTCAAAAATTGAAAAAAGATGATAGACTTAAGTGATGGAAGGGTAGGAAGTGATGAGGTCATGTAGATGAGCCCTCTTATAGAGCTGTGGGACATCAGACTAGGGAGCAACTGCTTCTCCTTGAGAACCAGGGAAGATCTCTGGAAGAAGTGATATCAGAAATGGGCTTTGAAGGATGCATACTGTTGAACAAATGGAGATTTCTAGGAAGTCATTCCATACGGTGCTACAGAAAATAAACTGGTTTATGCTGACTAATAATTATTAAACAGAAACAGTTCAAAAGGAGAGTAGAAAAGATAGCATCACTATTCCTGATCTCCTGGACTGCTGGCCTCAGGTTCCATTCGGCGAGGTGTGGTGAAGAAGTTCATGGAATGTCCTGATATGAGCTGTGAAAGAATAGGTATGTGGAGAAGTTGTCATTAAGTTAGAGGTAGATGTTCAGGAAAATGGGGGCTGGTAAGAAAGAAAGACTAAGAGAAGAAAGGAAAAAAGATGGAATAAGAAATTGGGAACAGAATAAGGAATACAGAGAACTCACCAGTGCTTCTTAAACACCACCACAAGACCTATCAAAAGCATCAGGGGCAGTATCACTCCCAAGGGGATCAAGATGAAGTTCATAGATATGTGGTTGCCTGTGGATTTGAGAGACAAATGGATGTCATTTTAATTCTACTCTCAATTTTACTCCATCCATTGGTTGCCCTGCCTTAGCATGTGCGTTGAGTATCACTCACATTAATCACTTATTTTCCATTTCAGTCACTCTGTGCACATCCCTACTCACTAAAGGACTCTTCACCTCATCTCAAAATCTCCTGTATCAGGCAATCCCTCATTTTTCAATCTTCTATTCCTTTGAGCCACCTATATGCATTCCTTCCTCTTCTGCCTCCTCCCCCACCACCTAGTTCTGCAATCTTCAAACTATCCTCTGCCCTACACCCTAAGTTCAAGGACCATGTTCTCATACGCTCAGCCTCCACTCTTACTTACTCCAGTAGATGATGATGTCCTCACTACCCAGACTGCTATGCCTCACCTGGCAAGACAGGCCAGCTGCATCCTCAGTCATCATGTTCAGGATAACCCAAAGATACCACGTTCCATCAGCAATGGGAAGGATATCCCCTTGTTTAGTGTCTGGTTGCTCCTGTTCACCCCACATCCACGTCACCCAAACAAGCTTTGGGTAGAAGCCAGAGACATGACAAACCAGCAACAGCCAGTCAGGACTGAGGGTGGGGCTACTGGAAAGCCAGACCTGTGGCCTCACTGCAGAGGGAACAAAAGATATTCAGATGAGAACTCTAACACACAGCTTAGGGGCTCATATGTCACATTAATATGCACAACTATCTTTTTCCCTCTTCTAAGAAACTGTCCCCATCAACCCCTCTCCCTCTCCTACTCTTCCTTGTCCTAAGTTTTAAGGTGATGGTGGAAGGACCAAGACATGAATAGAAAAATCTTGGAGGAAGGGGTTGAACTGACCTTGTCTCTGGAGATCCATCCTCCCTGCGTCCAGGAGACCAAAGACAAACTGGGGGCAGGAGTTTCTGACGAGCCTCTGCACCGTCTCCTGGATGCCTTGGTACTGATTAATGAGATTGCACACATTCTGGGCTCTACTCTCTCCCTTTGGAGATGGCACCCATGACATGTTCTGGAAGCTCAGGAAATCTGACCCTTGATAAGCTACATGGAAGAAACCTTTTGGGGATCTCCCTGGAGTGCAGCTCACAGCCAGCTGACACCTGTAACTCAAAAGGGTCTGGAGGTTGTGCATTGGAGGAAGAGAGGAACAAAATAGAACAAGTGAAAAAGTCTGAAGAACGATATAAGGCTTTGTGATGAAGTGGAGCAGAAGGAAAGTTTATATATGTGTGAGAGTGGGGTAAAAATATACTTGGTCAGGAAAAGGGAAAAAAAATTGGCGGGTATGGGGGAGGTTAAGGGATAATTGCCACGATATAAAAGGAGATTGATCTGAAGGTGGTTTGGGAAACTGATAGGTGAGGCACATGATATAAGCTAGGTGGAGGGGAGAAATTTGTGTGAAGGACATGGCAGAATAGCATAGCAGAGTGAATGAAATGGGTCATAATGGTTGTTGGGCTATGGAAATAAATTATTGATGATTTTGAATGGGGCAAGTGATATTTTGAAGGAGTCAAGCGCTCAGCTATGTGCCTCTGGATTTTATGCTATGAAACGGAGACCACCGACAGAAGATTAAACACACACACACATACAAGAAAAAAGGATTCCAGAACTACTAAGAAACTAGGAGATTTTTAGGAATCAAGGTTTGAAATATGCTCCAAGAGGATTATGCATGCAGATATTTATGGTGGTGTGGAAACAATGGGAAATAGTCCAGAAAGGGATAGAAGCTGTTCCCCAGAAATAGAAAAACTTTCTGAAGAATTCCCTTAGCTGACTGCATTGCACTTACATTCCAACTTCAATGCACTGGCATGGTCTTGAATCTCCCGAATAAATCCAATGAAGTAGACACGAAACAGCAGCTCCAGATCCATCAGCTCCGCGTCACTGAAGTTGCCCTTGGACCAGGCATGCAGGAAAATTATAGTGCCTAATTCACTCTCCCAGCCATGTGTCAGCAACTCATCCAGCCAACCTGAGCCCTGATTTTGTGCCCAGGTTTTGTTGGCAAAGGATGAGATCTGGATGAGATAGAATGAGACAGGTTCCTGAAAGACTGTGGGTGGTAGGTCAAAAAAAAAAAAGATAGGCAGGAAGGAGAGAATATGGAAAGTGAATCATGTACCAGTGAGAGAGGTGTTATGGCTAGCTTAGCTATGACATTTGCCTGATACAGGGCCCCATGCTCTGTCACCAGCATCCAAAAGGATAAACTGGACCAGGAGACAGGGCTACTCAGATTCTAAGTACTCTTATATCCTTAGTGACCAGACACAACTTGGGAAAGTCCACCACATTTCTACCCAGATCAACTTTCACCTGAGTGAGAACTGACAAAGCAATGCTTACCTTCTTCATTGCTGCCACCTGGAAGGAGAACAGCTAGCAATGGAAATTGCAGAAAAAGCATTTCCTTTGCAGGTGTTTCTTTCAGCAAAGATGGTCTTTGATCTCTGCTCTCAGCAAACCTACTCTTCAGTATGTCTGTTTTAACTTTCTTCTCCCACAAACAGACAATCTTCCCCGTCATCCACCATCTTCAACAAAGAATATCTACTGCTTCCCCCAACCCTGGCCTCTCCTTAGATAGAGAGATAAAGAGCATGAGACAGATGAGTCCAGTGGTCAACTTATTTCTGATAAAGCTGCTAGGGAAATTGCTGCTACTGCTGTTGCTGGTTTGTGATCCACACTCTGGGAATCACAGATTATTGAGGGACTTGTTCTGTGGCTCAGGGTCCTCTCAAGTATACAACAATAACATGGTTACCCTATAAATTGAGGTGGAGTTGGGTGCATCCTAGAAGAGCAACTAACTATGGTAACACAGAGAAAGAAAGTCGTATTTTCAGCAATTTCAAAACCTTTTTGAGTAATTTCCCTTTTTCTACAACCTGTGATACAACATATTATCTTAAGATTTCAGAT